AAGTATGGGGTGGAATGGAGCGGTTGTAAGGGTGGGAATAAGAAGTGAAAACAGAAAGAAGTGCAGATGCTGTCAGAAAGGAACTAAACCAGAAGTTGATGGAAAAGCTCAGCAGGTCTGGCAGCATCTATGAAGAAAAATCATAGTTAACGTTTCGGGTCCAGAGACCCTTCCTCAGGGAATAAGTAGTGACTGGTCATAATGCTGCTGGCGTTGTGACACAAGTCAGGTGAGACAACAGTGTCGCGTGCTCTTGGATCTCCATGCAGTGATTCACAAGTTTGAGAGCCAGGGGCTCCGGAGTGTAGGGAAGGAAGCCCAGCTGGTTCTGCTTGTACGAAAAATTGGCATGAATGTAGATTATACACCAAGATGGTACAGGCAGACTGATGAACTGCAGAATTAAATAAAGGAAGTTATGGAAAAGCTTTGATGCTTTAAATAATTCATAGAATCTCAGTGGTGTGAAAGCAGGCCTTTTAGCCCATCGAGTTCACACTGACCTTCCAAAGATCCTACTCAGATTCTTCACCACCACTCTTTTCCCCCCCCCCCCCCCAAAAAGTAATCCATGTGACCTTGCATTCCCATAGCTGACCCACCCACCTTGCACATTCCTTGACACTACGGGCAATTTATCATGGCTAATCCACCTAGCCTGCACATCTTGAGCTGTGGGAGGAAAGCGGAGCACCTGATTCACACAGGCACAGTGAGAATGTGCAAACTCTACACGCTTGCCCAAGGGTAGAATCGAACCCAGGTCCCTGGTGCTGTGAGGCTGAAATACTAACCACTGAGCCACCGTGCTGTTTAAATTCCTGAAACAGTAAATATTGTTGAACTTGTGGGATTATATGTCAAGCTGATTTAACTGGTCTGATTGAATCAGGGGATCTTATTGCATGGCAAAGAACTCTTTGATTTCTAGGGTAGCCTGGATTGAGAGCAGAGCGACCTTCAATGGCTGTGGTGACAATTTGATGTTTGTGGATGTCATTTCTGTCCGTGTATAGGGGAGTGGATCCCAAAAGAAACTTGTTTAATTTCACTGCCAGGTTGTTAATGTGGTGTTGTTGCGATTTTTCTCCTGCAGATAATCATGTGCCGTACTCTGCCTTGGCAGACAACTCATCATTCGATGAAGACAGCAGTGATGCCCTTTCACCAGAGCAACCAGGAAGCCAGGAGTCACTGGGATCATTGCCATCCCCCACAGAAGCACGATCTGTTGATCCACACCATCCCCTCCTTACTTGTTCTACCCAGGTACTGACTTTCAACTAACCTCCCTGAATTAAATTTTCATATTAAATCACCTGACCATTGTTCCTGTTGAGACAAATCTTCCATTTCTTTCTAGATTGTAAAAATTTATGTTGGAATCTGTGGGTTATAATTCACTGTTTATTTAAGCACGTTGTTCACTAGCTGGGCCAAATGACATGAATAAAGACAACACTGTTTTCAATTATCTATCAAATGTTGGCACTATCCACAAGGCAGAAAGATGGTGCGGAGGAAGCTCCAGAATAATACTGCTCTTGAGAGTGCTGAAGGAATGAGACGTGCTTATGAGGTTTTGCATCTGGCACTTGTCAGGACAGAAGTGCAAGATTCCAAATCTCAGGAAACAACAATGTAGTTTGGCACTGTCTCCAGATGCAATATTAATTGTTGTTCCCTTTTGCGATTTGGTATTCTTGCAATTCTGTCCTGATGAGTGTAAAAGCTTTGACCACATCCTGTTTCTCTTTTTTTGAGCAATAGTCAAGCTGTCTACTCTAAGTGGCCATTCAAGTGCTGCTGTTGCTCCCTCACTACTTGTGCATGTGTAAGGATGCATGATTGGCAACCAGCCTCTAAGTGGCCATTCTTGTTTACATTGCCTTTTGGTGAGCTATTCAACTGTGGCCAGCATCACTGCTTCTAGAATGTTTTTCACTTTATGGTTGGGATGCTGTTTTGCATTGAGCTGCCTCCTTATTTTCACGCTCGAGGCTCCTGGGTGAGTAGTGTCAAAAGTTGCCTTCGTAGCTGCTGTTCCACAGATGAGGTGGTTCTGATGGCAGGTCATGGAGAACCATGAAGCACTGCTGCCAGGGCAAAGTCATTGGGAATTTTAGATTGCAGAACACCTACCGATTGGAGAGCCACTTATGGGCAGCTGTTGGTGCTGCAGTAATATAAACATTACCTCACAGTGATGTGCTGGGATCATGAATGTGAGAGATGCTTGTAACTGCTGAGTGTAACTTTACCTTATAATGATCAATAATTAATTGATTTCTGCTACAGCAATACAAAAGCAAAATACTGTCGGTGCTGGAGATCTGAATTTTTAAAAAAAAACAAAAATGTGACAAATGCTCAGGAGATCTGGCAACATCTGTGGAAGTTGAGAAACAGAGTTAACGTTCCAGGTCTGTGGCCTTTCTACGTGTAAATGAGTTGGAGGGCAGAAAGAGGCCATTCAGCCCAATGTGTCTGCAACATCTAAACAACTAACTGCTCACTTGAATACCACCTCCCAGCACCTGGTCTGCGGCTGTGCTGATCCAGGTTCCTTTTGAATGACTTTATGATTTCTGCCTCAACCACCAAGATCCAGGCAGTGAAACCAGTGTGGCTCAACGGTTAGCACTGCTACCTCACAGTACCAGGGACCTGGGTTCAATTCCACCCTCTGATGACTGCCTGTCTGGAGTTTGCACGTTTTCCCTGTGTCTGCGTGGGTTTTCTCCCACAGTCCAAAGACATTCAGGTTAGGTGGATTGGCCATGCTAAATTATCCCATAGTGTGCATGGATCTGCAGGCTAGGTGGGTTAGCAACTGGGAATGCGGGGTTACAGGGATAGGGTAGAGGGTTGGGATGTTCTTTGGAGGGTCGGTAAGGGCGGAATGGCATGCTTGTTACTCATCACTTTCAATCTGTGGTCGAAGATAAGGTAGTTGAAGGGTCAATAACGAGGGGGCCTAATTTTCAGGTGAAGGGGCAGAAGGTTTGGAGGGGATTTGAGGAAAGATATTTTTCACTCCAGAGGATGGTGGGAATCCGGAATGTACCGCCTGGGCGTGTAGTTGAGGCAGGGAACCTCAAACCTTGAAAAGGTACTTGAGCTAGAGCTGGAAAGTGTAGATGGGTTGGCACAGACCCGATGGGCCACAGGGCCTATTCTGTGCTGTATCATTTCCTCCTGTTGTGCAGAAGCAAATATTCAAATGTAATCATTATCCTGTGTGATGAGAGTTTGCAGGCTCTGTCTTGTATCAAATCCATGCTGATACAAACCTGATTTTGAAATCCAGATCCAGAAAGCAACGAAGAAAAACAAAACAAAATGTTGGGCATACTCTGGGGCTGGAACATCTGTAGAAAGAAAATCAGAATTATCGATTCAGGTCACTGACATTTCTTCAGAATTGGATGAAGACCAAAATGTAGTAAGTCTTGAGCAAGTGTAAGGGGGTGGGGATGGTTCAGGAAAACAAAAGGGAAGGTCTGGGAGAGGTTAGAGGTTGAATCACAAAAGATTTCATGGTACAAAAGATAAAAGGAAATGTTAATGGTTGGTAGTTTTTAAAAAAAAAAAAAATTTTCCAAGTGGGAGTGAATGACAAAATGATGAACTTGTGTCCAAAGTGAAAATCAAAAGTAAGGTGGACACAGGAGTGGTGGGGAGAGAATAAAATGGTGGGACAGTGTTTACCCTTCAAAGTTTTTGAATTCATTGTGGAGCTTAAAAGGCTGTGAAGTGCCTGGTCAAAAGATGAGGTGCTGTTTATCATTTCAATGGAATGGTGCAGCAGGCTGAGGCCAGAGACATCAGCCTGAGAACGACTATAAGAATCAAAGTGCAAACTTGTGGAAACTGAGGGTAATGCTTACAAAAGAGCAGAGGTGTTCTGCACAGTGTCACCCAATCTGCATTTGGTCTCCCTGAAAAAAATGGGCATTTTAGTGAAACGAGTAGATAGGACCCCTCCAGCTCTGCCATTGAGATTTTACTGTAGCCGAAATGTGGCTGAATGGTTAGCACTGTTGCCACACAGTCAGTTGTGGGCTCACTCCACAGATTTAAGCATAAAACCTCGGTTGATGCTGTGAAAGGAGACATTGACACCCTCTTGGGGATGAAGAACAAGGCTGTTCTCCCTGGTGACCTGATCAGTGTTTGTCCTTCCTCTGACCTACTAAAAGAGTGCGCCTGGCCTAGCCCCATTGCTCTTGGCAAGTTCTGAGGAAGGGTCACCGGACCCGAAACGTTAACTCTGTTTGAGTTAACAGCCCGATGTTTTGGGCTGACAAGTTGAGCAAATTTTCAGAAATGAAGGTTATTCTTTCTGTTTAACTGAAGATGGAAGATCCTTCTCTCACTGTAAGGCTTATATTTGATTTATGTGAAGTCAGTGTAGTTCCTCATTGATGTGAACCAACAGTAGTAGACTGCCCTTGAAACTGCACAATCTGGCCATCTGTAACAGAAAAGACTGCAAGATGGCTGTTATGACGAATGGAAAAAAATGCTCATGAGTCTAGTATTTTTCCCCTGCAGAATAAAGATGCGATCTTGCATATAACTGTGGCTTTCTTGACCTGGGAGTGTGCCACAGGGTCTATTGAGTGTTCCAGTACTCCTCATGCCCTTTGAGTCACCTCATCGCTCTCATTACCAAGAATCACCATGTGCAAGTAATCATTGACCAGTAACTGGAACATTCTTAACTTACCAAAGAAATTGCTTTATTGCTACTTTTATGGAATCTGACTTTACATATTTCACAATATGGTCTGCTTGTCACCAGTAGACAAGGCAGCCTGTATACCATAGTGTGTAAGATCACATTTGAGTACTTCATCAGTGCCTCTTGCTGGTATCCATTCGCCTTGCTAAGGCTAGGAAACAATTGACTGCACTTCAAGTTGATAAACCACTGAGACTTGATGAGCTGAAGCCAAGGGTAGTGAGGAAGTTGTGGGAGCACAGACCACAATTTTCCATTCCTCCTCTGGTATCGGAGTGGGGCCAGAGGATTTTGAGATGTATGTAAGCAACCTAGACATAGGCGATGGTGGAGGGTATTTTTGTGATTGGAAGCCGACGACTAGCCGTGTACCTCGCCTCAGAGCTGGGAACCATTGCTGTCTGTTATGTACGTTAATGACTTGGATGTGAATGTGGAAGGAATAATTAGTGAGTTTGCAGTTGACATGAAAATTGGTGGTGTTGATCGCAAGGAGGATTGTCTCAGTCTACAGTCTGATATTGATCACCTGGTAAATTGGGCAGAGCAATGGCAGATGGAATTTAATCCCAATAAGTGTGAGGTTCACTTTGGGAAGTCTTACTGGGGAAGGATTTACACCTTGAATAGTAAGCCCGTAAGGAGTACTGAGATACAAAGGGACCTTGGTGTACCAGTTTATAGGTCTTTGAAGGTGTCAGCACAGGTAGACATACTTGCCATCATTAACTGGGGTGTAGAATATAGGATCACTGAAGTCTTGTTGAAACTTTGCAATGTATTGGTTAGGCCACAGATGGAATAAGGTGTGCAGTTCTGGTCAGCACACTCAAGGAAGAACATTTTTGCACTGGAGAGGATGCAGAGGAGATTCACTAGGGCATTGCCTGGAATGGAAAGGCTCAGTTTTGAGGAGAGGCTTGATGGGTTTCATTTATTTTCTCTAGAGCAGAGGAGGCTGAGGGGCAGGGAGTCTGATTTGAGAGATACAAGATTGAGAAGCATAGTGAGGGGAGATTGTGAATGTCTTCTCCCCACGGCAAATGTGTCTAAGACCAGAGGGGGTACAGTTAAAGGTGAGGAGTAGGTGGTTTAGATGGGATCTTAGGTAACATTTTCTCACCCAGAGGGTGATAGAAATATGGAATGTGCTGCCTGAGAGAGTGGAGGAGGTAGGTATTCTCATGACATTTTAGAAGCATCTGGATGAGCACTTGAAATTCCAGGGAATAGTGGATTAAAGACCAACTGAAGGTAAATCAGGTTAGTTTAGTTAGTGTTTGTTGGTTGGCATAGATATGGTGAGCTGAAGCACCTGTCTCTGCGCTCCATGACTCTGACTAGACTTGTATACATGGCACTTTAAAATTTTCGGATGCTGTACAACTTACAAGTATTGTGAGTGAGATTGTTAAATCTCAGAAGCACGTTGGTTAGTGGAATGGGCTGGAAAATTGCAAATGAATTGATTGAAGGGAAGTATAAATGATTAATTTTGGTTTGAAGAATGGGCGAAGGCAAAACAAAACAGACCATTTCTAAAGGGGATGTAGGACCAAAGGAACCTTGGCATTTATGTGCTCAAATTATTGAAGATGGCAAAGCAGTTTGAGAAAGTTATTAAAAAGCTTGCAGGATCCTGTACTCTGCCCTTTTTTAATAAAAAAAAAAGTGTCCTGTGAAAAACACTAGCTTCAGCAGGGATGTTGCATCCGGTTCAGGACACCTCTTGGAAAGATGTGAAGGCATTAAGAGAAGATGCAAAAACAAATTCACAACGATGGTTTCCGAGATGAGGGACCTCTGTTATGAATATAGATTGGAGAAGCTGGGCTGTTCCCTGTGGAGAATAAACTGTTGAGAGGCAATTTGATGGAAGTGTAGATGGAGCAAACCTATTTTCACTGGTGGAAGGATCTAGAACTAGAGGGCACCAATTTGAACTGATTGGCAAAAGAAGCAATGCTGCCACGAGGAAAATCTTTCTTATGCAGCAAGTGCTTAGCATGTGGAATGCAGTGAGTGTGTATGCATAGAAACAGGTTCACTTATGGCTGGTGAAAGAGGTTTGGATTATTATCTGAAGAGGAAAAATTTGCAGGATATTTGGGGTCAAGGGAAAGAAATGGCACTACTTTGACTTCTCTCTTGCAGATAGCTGGCATAGACTTAATGGCAGAATGGTCATTTATGTGTAAATATTTATCTCAAGACACCACAAACCATTTCAAAGCCTTCCACATACTGAGTGCCAACCTCAGCTGAGATACCAACTGGAAAACTAGGGGTGTGCTTCAGGGACACAAACAACAAAATTGCTGGAGAAACTCAGGTCTGACAGCATCTGTTGAGAGAACAAATTTGACGTTTCTGGACTTGAGTCACGAGGCAGTTCTCCAGCAGCTGCGGTTCTTTGTTTTATTTTTGTGTTTGTTTCAGAGAGTTTGCGGCACGGTGGCTCAGTGGTTAGCACTGCTGCCTCACAGCACCAGGGACCCGGGTTCAATTCCACCCTCGGGTGACTGTCTGTGTGGAGTTTGCACATTCTCCCTGTGTCTGCGTGGGTTTCCTCCCGGGTGCTCCAGTTTCCTCCCACAGTCCAAAGATGTGCAGGCTAGGTGGATTGGCCATGGGAAATTGCCCGTAGTGTTCAGGGGTGTGTAGCTTAGGTGGGTTATAGGGGGATGGATCTGGGTGGGATGCTCCATCGGTTGGTGTGGACTTGCTGGGCTGAAGGGCCTGTTTCCACACTGTAGGGATTCTATGATGATCTTGATTCAGTCCAGGAACAAAAACAAAGTGGCTGGAAAAGCTCAGCAGGTCTGGCAGCATCTGTGGAGGAGAAAACAGAGTTAACGTTTCGGGTCCGGTGACCCTTCCTCGGAACCGGACCCGAAAAGATAACACTGTTTTCTCCTCCACAGACTCTGCTGAGCTTTCAGCAACTTTGTTTTTGTTCCTGATTTACAGCATCCGCAGTTCTTTTGGTTTTGATTCAGTCCAGACTTTCTCCTTCATTGTTTGGAGGGTAACACTGGTTAAAGCCTGGATGCCATTTGATCCTTCAGTAGGGAATCTTAGTGGGTTCTCAGATCCACAAAAGAGCAGATAATACTACTTTAAAAATTAAACACAGCCTCAGAGAGAGCTGGCATTTCTCAATGTTTTGCAAGTTGTTTTTTAAGATGGATTTGGAAGGTTTGGCACTTTTTTTCATAATTAATTTGTTCTCTTGCAGTATCTCATATCATTGCCAACTGGGACAGAATTGAGCAAGTCCAAGCCAGTGTCTGACCACCAGACAGCAAAATTGGCAAATGGTGTGTTATCCCCAGCTGCCAAACCCATGCCAACACTTATTAAAGTAAGATTACTTCTTGGAAAACCTTTATAGCGTGGGATTGTGTGATGATGTTTTGCATCTTAAACTGTGGTCAGAATTCTGGAATTGTGCAGTTGCAACTGTAAGGTTAACTAGATGCTGGCTTGTGTTTACAGAAAATTGTGTGGTCCAAAATTTTTGTTTACTTTATTTCCTTGCCGAAGTTTCTCCTCCCCCTTCCCTGTCCTATAGGCACTTTGTCGCTGGTGGAATATGGTTTGAGTGCTGACTAATGTTCCCTGCCAAGTGGTCTTATTTTCTGTGAAGCTTTGAGTGACATTGGCCAGCTATACAATTTTTTACAGGAGGTGATCCTGCGCTATCTGTACCCCTCATCATTTCATTTCTGGTAATTGGGTGACAGTTGGCACCTTGACAGACTGCAGTCTGCTCAACTATAGCTGGTTGAGAGAAACTCACCCCACAGGAATGGGCTTGAACCTGAAATGAGCGTGCACATGCGCTCTTAGAGTTTTGACTTTTGGATAACCTCGGACAGGGGCCTAAGGGAATGCTGAATCCAACTATAGTGAGAAATCTTGGACTATAGCATGGCCAAATGTAAGCTAATCATCACTCTCACCAGAAAACAGGGTTAACCAGTTGGTCAAGTTTTATTTTCGGAAGTATTAGAGCCTGGTGGATTGTGGAGTATGCCCAATGTTAATCACTGGGAGAAACTTGCTTTTAGATTTATTTCAGGTCAGTTAGTATAACTTCTTTGCACCTTCAAGTTGTTCATTCCTTAATATAATACCAAACTTAGCAGAAATGGCGTGTCCTATCCGGATTTTAGATGTTTGGAAAGTAGTTATGCAGCAGTTCAATGCTTTCAAGGTCTTCAGTCATTTTCCCTCCCCACTTGCAGAAAGTGTGTACTATTTGGCATCATTGGGGACTGCAGTCTCCATAAGTTTAGCAGTTGAGGGCTTATTTCTTTTGCATGTTCCTGCCCATTTTAAGTACCAAGCTTTCATGTTGTTCCTTTTTTTGGTGTGTTGGATTGTCTTATCTTTCGTCAACCTTGTGGCTTTTCATCATCTTATTTCCGAAGGCTCCTTTCACTGAATGAGGAGCTGTTTGTGCTTGCGTTCAATCATTTCTCATTTCTGCTTGCAACAGTCTGTCAACTAGCTATTAAATCTGCCCCTTGCATGATCAAAGTCAGCTTTTCTTTCTCTTGATTTTTTTGCCACTGCCTCACTCTTCATTTTGTTTAGTTTGCTCTTATTGTTGGCTTCTCTTATTACAGGAGTTGGTGTGCGGTCTGCTCCCAAGACATTAGCTTGTCCCTGGTGTCGTCAGGTGCTCATAGTCCTCTTGTTTTTGTTTTGTCTTTAGTTTGAAAACTGGAGTTATAGCCTCCAAATTGGAGCTGCGCTGAGCTAAGTTTGCTGATCTTAGCTGCCAGTTACTCTGGTCCACAGAGATTAGTGGGAAAGGTTAGTCAGAGTCCCTGCTGCTGATTACAGTGCAGGCATCCCACATGGGAACTGTTTCTCCATGGAGCTGATATGAAGGTGCAGTCTCAGTGACTTTCACTGCTGTAGCCACACAGCTCACTGCCATTCATTACCAGCGACCAAACCTGATCACTGAGTACTTGGCCTGGGTTGGTGTCAGTGACACACTCGGCATCTTCAGAGTAGGTGAAAATTGGCAGAGAGAGGGGCTGGGGAAACAATGTAGATGATTCCAAAGTGAAGGGATAGATACTGTGCTCACGAATATGATTTGTTTAGCTTGATGCAAAGTGCCACAGCCTGTTCTGTCAATCGCAAGCCTGTCCACATACAGAGTTGTCTCTTCTGCCTTTTGTCTAATCCTCTTAGTACAAGAAGACTGTGATTGTTGAAAGGTAACACCAGTGGAATGATTGTACAGGAAGTTTAAATCTGGCAATGATCAGGGGTCTCAGAGCTGCCTCCTTTTTATGTTTCAATCTAATTCTAGTTTTGGACTATAGCTGGTGTGTTTGCCATTTTATAAGTAGTGTTTTGATTTTATCAGTTGGACAGTGTAAATTTTGCCTCCCCCTTCAAGTATGCCGGGAGAAATCAGATTATGTTTCTTGGTCCTCTCCACATGCAGCAAAGCCAGCCCAAGACAGTGCGTGACAAGAACCAGAGGAGCAAGAAGCTGAAGGAGCCAAAATCCCGCGTGAAGAAACTCAAGTACCACCAGTACGTCCCACCAGACCAGAAACTTGACAAAGCCGCCCTGCCCCTGGATTCGGCCTATTCCAAACTCCTCCAGCAGCAGCAGCTCTTCCTCCAGCTCCAGATACTGTGTCAACAACAGCAGCACTACAACTACCAGACTATCCTTCCTGCACCCCCAAAGTAAGAACCCCACCTGCCCAGTGCCTTTGTAGGACAGTTGTTTCCATACAGCAGTTTATTGGATCTGAGATTGCTGATCTGAGTTAGGTAGTGAGCTGATGCAGTGCCTGATCTGATTGTGAATCACGGCGGGCATTGAGGTCCCAGGTTTAGTTCCCAGTCTCTGCTGAGTTGGTTGATCTCACCCAGGGCATTGGTTGAACCTCGTCATTGTTAGCTTAGAGTGGGGAGGAAGGGAATCGGGCTTCCTGCTTCTGATTGCTGAAGAGTTTCCCCTGTTGGATTGTGCGCACATAAACGTTTTGAATGAAGACTGATGGGATGAATTGCAATCATTAACTTAGCAGCACTTTCAGAGTAGCACAGGATGAATGACAGAGCGAGGAGGTTACAGAAGTGGGGGGGCTATCATAAGTCCACACAAAGCTAAACCTTCGAGAGAAAAGGTGGGAGATGTTGAGTTGGGAACTTCATGGTTTTAACATTTTCCTACTCCTCCATAATTTGCAATTATCGTTGCAGTTTGTGAACTGTCAGATTTGAGGTTTCGCTTTCAGAAGTGTGACCAGTGAAAACACATTGGCCAGTTTCCTCAGTTATAAATGATAGCAAAGCCCACGCATTTCCTTTCACTTCAGTATGCAGCTTCGGAAAGCATGCACTACCTGGTCTGTTGGTTGTATTTTAGCAGGCACTCTATTTGATATGGATCACTATGTAGGGTATAATGGCTGCATCCTCCCCAGGCCAGGAAGAATTTCATCTAATTTGTCTCCAGTTTCTGGAAGCACATGTCCCCCCCCTTGTGACACTTCTGCAAGTTTTAATAATTTAGTCTCCATCACCACCTGAATTCATAGTGCTGAGGTCTAACACTATACTGCTGAAATCACCAGAGTATCAGCCACATATATCAAGTGTACACTGAAATGGTGAATGACTGCAGCTTTTTCTGAACTGGTGTCTTATAGTGACCTCTGCAGAAATGCTGATAGGGCCTGTATGAAGCAGAGTGAGAGCAGGCTTGTTTTGGGCTGATGGCCTATTTGGGTAGTGAAATTTGACTGTTCAGCTGTAGTGTTGCTGCATAACTGCATATGGCTGTGATTGCCAGCCTGTTCATGGCTGCCTTTTTCATTTTGCCTTCAGGCCCAACAGTGACAAACAAGCCAACAGCAGTGCCGCCTCAGTGAGGACTCTGAGTAATAGCACACCGTCATCGGGTTCAGGCGGACTCCCTCGGCAGAACAGCTGCACAACCACCATCAAAGCACCGGGGTCGCTGCCCTCTAACCTTGATGACCTGAAGGTCAGTTGCATTTACTTATTATGTGCCCCCAAGGCCTTTCTTGTGTTCCTGTTCTGTCTCACAACATGTTATGAGCAAGCTGTCAAATATGTCGAGTGTAGACCTTCTCCCTGATCTGGAGCTGGTGATTCATAGCAGGATGAACTGCAGCCAGTGTGGCAATTCTGCGATGTTTTACGCAAGTAAACCCTCTCGTGAGAGTGGAAATAATGATGCTGTTTAACCAAGAGGCGAAGCTGATCTTAGATTTTTCAGGAAGGTATGTTTGGTAACTGGGATCACGAAAGAGATGGCCAACTTGATGCATTGTAAGCCTGTAATTTCCTGGTCGCCTGGCAAAACTGTGCATTCACTGAAACAATCAAAGTGTCTTCAGTGACTATCTGATGACAGTGATTATAATATCTTTCATGTGGGTTTAAGAGGAGACTTTAAATGAAACTCTTCCAGAGGGACATAACAAATCTCTTGGCACCATTGGAAGAGCTGAGTCCTTGTGTCCTGGCCAATATTTGTCCCTCGGCTGGCATCTTAAAAACATGCTTAATTTCTTACATTTTTGTTTGTAGGACCATATGGCACCACCATATTTAGAGGGTGGGGACAGACTAAATAACATTGACAAGGTGAAGGCCCTAAGGATCAGTCTTGGGGCTTTAATTATTCACTATCTATATTAATGTTTTGGAGGAGGGGATGGAATGTAATGTATCCACACTTGCTGGTGATACAGAAATAGGTGAGAGGCACATGGTAATCAGCACAGGTTAAGAAAATGGGTAAAAGTGGAATTTAATGCTGGAAGGTAAAAGGCCATGTTGTTTAGGATGACTTCATATTGAAATGGAGAGAGACTCCCAAAAACCTACAGCACAGAGGGATCTGGGTGTTCTTGTACATGAAGCACGCAGTTAGCATGCTGGTGTAGCAAATGATGCAGAAAGCAAATGGGATTTTGATTTATCATCAAAATCCAGCATGTGCGCAAGTATCCTTCAAGAGAAGAACTTGCTGCCCCCACCAGCCCTGCCCTCATTCCCCCCGCCCACCGATCCTGCCACCCCGACACAAAATCCACCGACTCATGGGATGCCTTCACTGCCCACTGGAGGAGCCTTGTCCTATGAATCAAGTTTTAATACTGCCTTCATCCAACCCTTTGGTGGAAGTTATGGGAAGGCTCAGTCATAGTAACGTTGCTGTCCTTGCCAGTGATGCTGAGATCCTATGAAAGAACAGAAAAAAACAAATTGTAAATCTGGCTCACTATTGAGCCATAATCCGCAGCTTTTAAAGAAGCTCTGAAGTAAGTATTTCACAAGCAGTTCAGAACCAGCTGTAGATGGATACCTTTCCTCTGCAATTTGTCTTTTCGAGGCTACATTGCCCTTTTAGAGATAGTTAGATACAAACACTTAAAATGGATCTGATTTTCTTTTCTTTTTTCTAAATTGTCACTGAGCCCTGAGACTCTGAAACTCGGGGATATCTCATCACTGGATCCACCCTGTGTTGGCCAGCAGTTCCCCTTCAGGAAGCCTTGACTTCTTGCACTACCTGTGATCAGTACAGACCCGGGGATCTAGCCTGGAACCTTTCTGGTCTCTATTTGTGGTCCCCACCAGTGAAATAACAATGGAACTGCGCATGATGGAATGTGGATCCAGTTGCACTTTTGAAAAGGAAATTGGCGAAGGATTTGAAGGGGAGGAATCAGAAATTGGATAAAGGGCTGGCACCAGGCTGAATGGCCTCTTGCTGTGTTATGCTGCGTGGTTCTACCCTGAGTTGTGTTTGACTTTGTTTCCATCTGTAGGTGGCTGAACTGAAGCAGGAACTGAAGCTGCGGGCCTTGCCCGTGTCAGGAACGAAAACTGACCTCATTGAACGTCTGAAGAACTATCAGGAACTGAACAAAGCTGGTGGGACTCCAGCGACCACCACGTCCGCCATGGGCAAGACTGGCACGGCCCCTTCGAGACCCGTGGAGGGAATGGCCTTCCCATCTGCCCGTCTTGGTGGCAGCACGCCAGCAGTGGTTAACAGCGTCACTCCTGGGGATGTAGCCATCAGCACAGTGACAACGAAGCTGGGCAGTTCCAGTTCCAGCCCTCCGGTGTCACCTGCCCCCTCTGATCACTCGTTTCACAGCATGGAGGAGGGCACTACTCCCGAGGCAGTCTCAGAGTCCCTCCAGTCTTCGCCCATGCGGCCAATTAGCACAGAGGAGCCTGTCTCCATCAACGGCATGACGGGCATTGCCAGGCTGGTGCCCAGCAGCATCCGGGGCCATGGCCCAGAGTCTGACAAGGACGCTCAAGCCGCGACCAAGGATCTGATGTTGCAGGAGAAGGACAAGCAAATTGAGGAGCTGACCAGAATGCTCAGGCAGAAGCAGCAGCTGGTGGAAGCACTCCGGCTACAGCTCGACCAGGAGAAGAGAACCCAGCTCCAGCAGCCGTCCCAAAGCGCGACCTTGACTGTGCCGGGCAGCCAGAAAACCAGCCCCACCGCCGTGAAGCAGGAGAGCCTGCCCTCCAGCTGCCTATTCTCAGGGCAGTCCGTGCCCTCGGCCCCAACGAAATCTGTCCCGCTCCTCAACCACGCCGAACCCCCAGGGAGCAGTCCAAGCCCTGTTGATGCTCCGGGGCCGCCGAACCTGGTGCCAGTGAAGGCTGTGGTGGTGAAGCAGGAGGGTCAAGCGGGCACCTGTGAGGAGCAGCAGCCCTCACCCACGTCGACTGTTCTGCTGAGCCCAGTGCAGCCAAATGGGGTGACCACGGGGGCACCGCGGCCGGTGGCACCGAGCCAAGCTCCGAGTCTGCTGGCAGATGGAGTGGGGACCCATATCCTCCTCACGGTGACGCCACAAAACAACAACATGCGACAAGTGTCCCCTGCTGTGAGTGCGGCCAAAGATCCACCAGCAATACAGGTATGAACTTTTGGAAGCTGATTCAATCTGCAGAGGGGGGCCCGCTTTAGCATTTCCCCCAGAGTTAGAGAGAATGTACAGCACAGAATCCGGCCCTTCAGTGCAGGTTCAGACTAGCTTCCTCCTCTAACACATCCTATCAGCACAATGGTCATCAGATATGCATAATACCTCAGGTACTAAGGGGACATGACAGAGGACATACCCTGAGGCGTCTTCCCCACAGAGTCCACAGCCAGCAGCTAATAGTCTCAGGATAAGCGATGACCCACTGAGATGATGCTTTCCCTCGAGGGTTGAGAGTCTTAGGAATTTCCTACCAAGAGGGCTGTGCGTGCGCAACTACGAAGTGTATTTCATGTCACAGGTTTTTATGTTGAATGGTAATAGAATCCGCAAATAGGGTGGTATGTCAGAGAAGCAAAGTTGATCTGCCATGATCATATTGAATGGTGCAGTAGGCTCAAGGGGCCAAATGGCCTATTCCCTCTGTTTGTTATATTCCTATGATCTTCCTCCTGACTCCCAAACTGGAGGAGGTAACTTTTTCCTTGCCTCATGTTTCTTTGAGTGTTGATTCTGAGAATTTGATGTTCAACAGGCCAGTGAGTAGCAGCAGAGAGAACCAGTGAAGGCAGAGGATGCTAGCGATGAAGGGTTCATGCCTTACTTGAACATTAGCCAAACACTCTGCTTCAGATTCTTTAAGTGCTCAGACAATGGCTTTTTACAAATCTTGTACTTGAAATAGTCGTCCCATGATTTAACCAGTCGGTGAGAATAATTCTCGATTTAATTCATACTGAGAATTACAAGGCATCCTGGTATAACCTGATGGAGACCTGTTAAAATTACAGAGGGAATAGATAGGGCAAATATGAAAATGTTTTCCGTTATACTGCGCTCATTTCTGGTCTCCCTGCTATAGGAAGGGTGTTGTGAAACTTGAAAGGGTTCAGAAAAGATTTACATGGATGTTGCTAGGGTCGGAGGGTTTGACTATAGGGAGAGGCTGAATAGGCTGGGGCTGTTTTCCCTGAGGCTGAGGGGTGACCTTATAGAGGTTTATAACATCATGAGCGTCATTGATAGGGTGATTAGACAAGGTCTTTTTCCCTGGGGTGGGGGAGTCCAAAACAAGCGGGCATACGTTTAAGGTGAGAGGGGAAAGATTCAAAAGGAACCTAAGGGGCAACTTTTTCACGCAGAGGGTGGTGCATGTATGGTATAAGCTGCCAGAGGAAGTGGTGGAGGCTGGTACAATTACAACATTGAAGAGGCATTCTGGATAGGTTTATGAATAGGAAGAGCTTAGAGGGATATGGGCCAAATGCCTTCAAATGGGGCTAGATTTATTTAGGATATCTGATCGGCATGGACGAGTTGGACCGAAGGGTCTGTTTCTGTGCTGTACATCTGTATGACTCTTGTCAGGAGAGACGAGAACTATTGGTCAAATATGAGGTAATCCATAAATCATCAGGAAAGACATGAGGAGAACCAAGAGGAATAGCACTGATGCCTATGAGAAAGCTGGAAATGGGGGGCCAAGAGATGGACTGAATACTGACTGTGAGATGAAGTAGGGTGGTTTGAAGTTTGTGTAGAACTGGGGTTCACGGTGGCTCAGTGGTTAGCACTGCTGCCTCTCAGTGCCAGGGACCCGGATTCGATTCCACCCTCAGCGACTATCTGTATGGAGTTTGCACATTCTCCCTGTGTCTGCGTGGGTTTCCTCCAGGTGCTCCAGTTTCCCCCCTCAATCCAAAGATGTGCAGAATAGATGGATTGACCATGCTAAATTGCCCGTAGTGTTCAGGAATGTGTAGATTAGGTGGGTTATAGGGGGATGGGCCTGGAGAGTCGATGTGAACTTGTTGGGCCGAAGGGCCTGTTTCCACACTCTAGGAATTCTGTGAACTGACTTAGTTCAGTCTCTGTGCTGCATGTTGGGTGTGTTACAGCAATAAAACTCCCTGCCAACAGAGGGAGCTGTTTGCCAGTGCTCTTCCTGCTTTAAAGCAGCAGTTGCTGTTCCTTTGGAATTGACTTTGTTTTTGTTACAAAGCAGGTTACCCTCTTGGGAAAGTAACAGGAAGTTTTCTGTTTATATTGTGACCTGATGAGAATTGCTGAATGAATTGTTCAGGAAAAGAGCATTTTGTTTTGCAAAAGACTCAGGTTTGTGGCAGTGATTCTGAAGTGACTGCATTTATTTCAGTCATGTTTTTGGGTGCTTTACTCTATAGTCCACCTCACATCGGTTTGATGCGAAGAAAATGACCGACTTTGATTCTAGTAGCTTTATTTTAAAGTTCCGGCACATTAAGACATATTATATTCCTGCAGGGACTCTGGGTGGGATAGAATATTATGTGTATATTATGTAGACTTGACATATTCCTGCAAATAATTTAGGTTAATGAGCACACAATGTACAGTTTAAATATGGGTCTTTGTACAGGATGTATTCCAATATGTACAGTGCTTAGTGGACCATTGTACAGTAATGGGGTCTATCGGGCTCTGCTATGGTATTGGAGCAGATCTCAGAGGTGAGTAAGTCTTGTATTGTGTGCAGTATTGAAGTATATTTAGGTCTTTTATGTAGAGTCCATGGCACCCACACGATTATCTACTGAAAGATGCAGGTTTCCTGGGGCACTGGGAAAGTTCCGCAGTGCTTCATGTAGTGCTGTGACATCTCTGCTGGGCGAGATCTCTATAAAGCAGGATCCAGATACTCCCATCTCAGTCATGGTAGCACCGCCTCAGGACTGTGTTGCGGTGTGATTCTTATCAATGTGTCAGATTAGAGGTTGCAAGCATTAAAAAATTTGGACCAAGCTGACGACGAGAGAACGCTTTCCAAAGTTTGGCAATCTGGAAAGTCATCCGTAAATTCCAGAAAAAAAAAGCATTGCTTCACCTGTATCTGATTTGGCACCTTGTGGTACTATTCCAGTTGTCTCATAGCTTCTTATGGTCTCTCCATCCCTCCCTGTGTTCTCAGGCAGTGCCATCACCTCCTTCCCAAGGGCAGGCACAGCAACCATCACCTAACAGCCAGTCGAAGCAGCATTCAGAGGCAGGAGTGATGAACCAGGCTGTGAAAAAGGTAGGGACTTTGCTTTTGTTTTGTGCGGGGCAGCTTCTTGTCTGTAGGTGAAGGAGAGGGATGGACTTTGTGGTAAAGTGGATCCAGCAACATTCTATAGTACTTGTTTCCTCAACACGATGGAGATGTGTATGCAATATAATGTTGGGAAAAGACGAGGTTATGCAGGGTGAATAGGGGAGCTGAATAACATTTAAATGGAAAAAGACTGTTGAAAGCTACTGAACAGAGGGATTTGAGACACCTTGTCCATGAATCACATAAAGCTCTCAAGTTCAGTGAGCAAATGAAATGTTGGCCTTTATTTCAAAGGGAATGGTATATAAAGGTAGGGAGGTTTTGCTAAACCTATACAAGGTACTTGTCGGACCAGAACTAGAATACTGTAAACAGCTTTGGGCCGCATAGCCTAAGAAAGATAGACTGTCATTGGAGGCAGTCCAGAGAAGGTTCATTAGGCTGATAACAGGTATGGAGGGACTATCTTATGAGGAGAGACCAAGAAGGTTGTGCCTGTACTTAATGCAGTTTAGAGGAATGAGAGGTGACCTCGTTGAAACATACAGGATTCTTAATAGACTTGACAGGATAGCTGAGGAAAGGTTGTTTATCCCTTGTGGGACTGTCTAGGACCAGAGGGCATCATCTCAGAATCAGGGATCACACTTTGAAGGCAGAGATGAGGAGCAATTTCTTTTCTCAGAGGGTGGTATGTCTGGAATTCTTCATGGCAGAGGGCTGTTGAGGCTCAGTCAACAAGCATACTCAAGGCTGAGATCAATTTTTAATCAATCGAGGGTTATGGGGGAGAAAGGCGTGAAAGTGGAATTGAGGATTATCATACCAACCATATGTTATTGAATGGTGGAGCAGACTTGATGGGCTGAATGGCCTACTTCTGCTTCTACATCATTTGGCCTTAAAGGAATAGATAGTTGGTTTATTGAAGTATCAGCATGGAGCAAGTGTTGAAGTGTAATGATGGTACAGTTTAAACTAGCAATCCTCATTCGTGAATAAGCATCATGGCCTGCTGTCTCCTTGTCACTTGACATTACTATACAATGTTTTGACATTTTGGAGTAACGAAACTGTGGGAAACTACACTTCTTAAAAGTTTAGCTTCTTTGTACTGAGTTTCAACAGGCATTATCTGACTCATCACTC